TCGCGACTGCAGCTTCCGAGAGAGCTCTTCAGATGCCATGCCGGTAGTAAGACGCTGTTCACAGAGACTGAGAGAAGTACCACTGTCAAGCTGCCACCGACCTTCCCATAGAGACACGACTCCACTTCCGCTCATGTTTTTCAGAACAAGAGACTCATCTCGACACATCCTCAGTACTGACGGCCTCAGTGCTTTCTCTGATGAAGATGCAAATATAGTTTATCAGTAATAGTTTTATTTTCAGTGGCTAAACTTTGCAAAAAAAAAAAAAAAAGTTAAGCTGGTATGTTTACTTTTTACTGTTTCAGTAAAACCATAACAGGAACATAGAGACAGTTTGCCTCCGATTGAGTTCATTGTCCAAAGGATGGCAGCAGTGCTGCTCAGAAGAATCCGAATTGGCTTTATTGGCCAAGGTTGTGCATGCTGTGTAGGCCACTTACAGCTCCAAGAACAGCTTCAGATACAATTAGGCATACAGCTGCTTAAAAAAATAAATGAAAAAGCAAAATAAGTAAAACAGATAAACAAAACTATTATGAACATACAAGTAGCCTTGGTGAAAAAAAAATACAGGCTGTAACACAACAAACAATAATATATGCTAAACAACATATGCTACAATGTGTAGGCTATAGTCTACAGGGTCCGTGTATATTGCGGCCATTGGATTTTCGTTTTGAATTGAGAAAACCAAAGGCAGGTGCAGCCGGGCAAACCTGACATTAACGGATCGATTGGTTTAGATTTAATTATCACACCCAGTAACTAGAATGATGTCATTAAATAGCTTTACGTGGCCCGTTTTCAGTAGAGATACGCAAACAGTGTAGAACTGTCTTTCACCCCAGGGATCAACTTGCTGATCTGAACGGGATCCAGGCTCCTGCCTTTGTTAGGAAGGCTCGAACACGGAAGTGAGCGAGTCACAAAAATTGACGGACCCAGGTGGCTGACTTCGATACAAGCAGTGCAAGTTTATTTACAGTGTAAAACAAGTGACCAAGAAATGAACAGACTAGTAACACTGGGACCGGGTGTCGAGCTTCGGACGGGAACACAGTCAGTGGTGGAGATGATGAGAAGAGGACCAGGCTGCGGACACTGGGACTCACTCCTGGACTGGTCGAGTTGGATGGTACTGAAGA